ATTCCGGTTGTGATCGTTACTGGTCGCAGAGTTAAGAGAAGGTAGAGGAATTAACTATAGAGTAGTATTATAACAGCAGAAGGCAAGACAGAAGCCAAAGTATATTTTTCATTGATCGAACCGCTGTTTATATATATATAGTTTATATTCTTTAACCAATCACTAAGCGTGTGATTTGGTTTACATGAAACGACATGAAATAGAATCTTCAAATACACCTAGTACTATGTTGCTAATGCAGTATTGAACTGTGGAAATGTGTGAGAATAATATTCCATTGGGCACATTGTCTGTGTCACACCTCCACAGTAATAGCAGTGATAGGAAAGCAAGAATTTGAAGGTGAATAATGAACAGGAAAGCGTCGTTTGCTTACGGCCCTACTGCTTACACATCCCTATTTACTAGAAGTACAACTTCGCCCATAGACTCCCAGCATAGTATTAACAAATTACACTTTCATGGTGACTGCGATCCAAACCACATTTCTATGATTGTGTGATTTGTAGGAACAATTATTCCACATATTGTAGCGGTATGCAAGCCTGACCGCCACATCAACATAGCAGCTATCAAAGAAAGAAAGAAAATATCTGTAGAATGAAAAGATTCCACTTTTTTATTTCACAGCTTTTCATCAGTTGTTAACAGCCTAATACATACACAAGTTATTATAAATACAAGAATCAATAACACATATGTCTAAACCAAGTTCACTTTTAACGGTTTGAAAAAATTTATGCATTGGGCATATGCTATTCAGTATAATAAAGGTTTTTGTATTTCCCAATGAATGAAAAACAAAACGATATTGTTTTTATTGACGTTTCGCTATTTAATGCTAATAGCTTTATCAAAGTATTATTAAACCGGAATTTACAAAATCTCAGCATATATATAACAAAGAGTTAGGAGGTGAGAAAATAGACTTAGGTCAAGTTAAAGGGACATATTGAAAGTAAAATTAGCAATGAAGATCACTAAACCAAATAACAAAGGTAATAGTACGTCTGTTATGATATCAAAATAAAGTTTACTAACTTGATCATCGTTCGTCTGTCTGGGGGCATTTTTTAGTTGTCAAGTTGGTGAATTGGTAAAGATAACAAAATCAAGTCTGGATTGTTGGATTTGATCGGTGTGTAAAATTATAAAAGTAGTGTGTGTTTACATAGTGAACTTGCTTATCACATTCGTGTTGATTTTGTCACTTGGTGGGGGAGGGAGGTGTTGTAACCAGGTCAGATTCTGTTTTAGTCCATCATTCCTATTCACACAATTTGGATTCCACTTGATATGAAGTGCTTCTGATATTAGACGTTCTTTGTGATTTCTGAAGTTTTTCTGGATTATTTCAATATTGTCAAAATCAATTTTGTGGCCTGATCCTATAGCATGTAGAGCTATGGCTGATGATTTTTCAAGTTTTTCTAGTTCAACCGGATTTCTCGGTGGTCAAATAGATGCTCTATGGTGTTCATTTCTTCTGATTTTGATTTCTCGAGATGTTTGTCTGATGTATATCGCATCACATTCCAAGCAAGCATTTTATTTTATAGACACAATTAGATAGAGAATCTTTAGGGATTTGGTCTTTTATATGGACAAGGTTGTTTCGCAGTGTGTCTGATATTTTGAAGAAAACTCTAATGTCGAGCTTATTGAGTACTCTTCTGATATCGTCTGATGTCTCTACTCTATATGGAATGACAACTGTTGAGGTCCATTTTTTGGGATACGTTTTCGACCATACTTAATGTCTGTGTTGATTTTGTTGATGAAGTTTTTTGGGTAGTTGTTTTGCTTGAGTCTCAGTAATGTTTGATATTTCTTCTTCCTTTTCTTTCTCATCCGTTATCAGAGAGTGTGCTCATCTAAGAAGACTTGAAACAACTGAAATCTTTGCGCTGATGGGGTGTGATGATCCGAAGTCTAAATATTTATTGGAGTGGGTTTTCTTCCTGAATATGGATATACTAAAATGTCAGTTTTTCCTCCTCTTAACTGGGCAATCTAGAAGTGGTAGTTCACCGACGTCTGATTCTGCTTCTGAAGTAAACTGGATTCTAAGAGACAGATTGTTTATTATCTCCAGGAATGAAATGTGTAGATCTCGTTTCATCACTACAAAAGTATCATCTACATATCTTAACCATATTTCAGGAGTGAGTATGCTTGAAAAGATGTTATCTTCGAATCTATTCATGAAAAGGTCAGCGACTATTGGGAAAACTGGTGAATCCATAGCAACAACATTTGTCTGTCTACATAAATTTCCTTTAAATGTAAAATAATTACTTCCTAGACAGAATTTCAAGCTCTTAATTATTTCACTGGTGTCCAGTGAACATCTTTGTGATAGCTTTGTATCTGATTCTAGTAGACAGGAAATGATATCAAGACTTTTGGTAATAGGGATACTAGAATATGATGAGTTAATATCATAGCTTACCATAATGTCTTCTTTATCAATTTGTCGGTGTTATCTTTGGGATTTGAAATCATATGAATCTTTTACAATATTTTGAGTGTCATTTTGTAGTTGTTGTAGTACCGAGAGTAAATATTTAGAGAGGTTGTATGTCGGTGAGCTGGTGAAATCTACTACTGGTCTTAATGGAACTGTGGGTTTATGTGTCTTTGGTTGGCCGTAGAATCTTGAAGGTACATAAGATTTTGGTTTTAGTTTATACCAGAGAGAATTTCAAATTTTGGGTCTCATTTTTTTAAGGAGTCTGTTTATTTTTAGTTTCATTTTGTTGAATTCGGCAGATCTCTTCATTTCTTCAATGAGTAAGTATGGTCCTTCGGATAGGTGTCCAGTCGCATTCTTTTCATAATCTTGTCTGACATGTGTATGGCTCTAATATTCTCCGCATCATTAGTTGAGATTCTCTTTGGTTGTTTCTTTTCTCCCAGTTTCAAGAATTTTTGTATTTGTCTCCTTTTCGTGACATTATGAAAATGTGATTCTCGTTTTGTTTTTCGTTCATTGGGAAATACAAAAAAACCTTTATTATAATGAATATCATATACCCAATGCCCAAATTTTTTCAAACTGTTAAAAGTTACATATATAAACGATTAAGTAGGTTAAAAGATTAACGGTGAATTCAATTCAACGAATCATAGTCAAAAACGTTGACTCAACAAAAGCACACATACAGAGTGGAGACATTTAGTTACAAAGGTGGCAGAAGACTAATCATACCACCTTGTTGTATACAGGTATTAGGTTGTATTCATTTGTTAGTAGTGGCTTCTGTGAAGCGAATTAGCTAGAGTTTTCTCTGTATACTGATTATTTTTTTAAAGTCTGGCTGATTCTGAATAAACAGCCGTGCCATTCTGACACTTAGCCACTGCACTTGCAAATACTTTTTCATTTTTCATATGAAGGTTGTTGAGGACATGCTCGGAAATCTGGTAGATGTTCTTCTCTCAGTCTTCCCTATGTAATTGCTACCGCAAGTACATGTAAACTGGCAATTAGAGTTAGAGTTGACACGGTCAGGATACTTATTTATTTTGGACTGTATTAGTGAGCATTTCGTGTTATAAAGTGAAATTAGCCTAGCGGCGGGAAGTGTCCTTTTCAGGCTGTCTCTTTTAGGCTACCAGCAGTTGATAAAAAGCCGTGAAGGAAAAAATAATCTCTTTTTATTTCGATTGGACACTAGTAACTTGTGCGATATGTCTAGTCCTTTGCTTGGGGAAAACGGAATTCTTTCAGTCAGGTTTGAAATGCACCACCATTCTAGCCGTCATGGTGCACTTTGAACTGTTGATGTTATATGGTTGGAGGCAATCGGCAGGAAGCCCCACCTCCTCATCTAGGTTTCGTGCTAGTTGGTACTCACCAGTCAGCAAGGAGTATCTGCAACTTTGAAGGAACTCATGTCTCTACTGAGATTCGAGTCCGCGTCACCCAGTCCTGTAGTCAAAGACGTTACCACTGATCTATTTGGGCTCGCAATTGACGTTCTGTATTACACTAGTTAGTAACTAGAGTAATGTGTCCAGTCCTTTGTTTGATACAGACGGAATTCTATCAGTCAGGTCTGCTCTTTTTATCTTACACATCTGTTTTTTCTCTCTTTGTTCAAACTAATCAGGAGAACTAGTTGAATGAAATAGCAGTTATCAGTCGAGTTTTAAACCATAAAGGTAACATGAATTCCCCAACGGTTGAATATATAACCTATCCATAAGTGTCAGTAGGCTTAAAAGCAGGTCCAAACCTACTTGTTAATTATCCATTCCTAAACTCTAAAATGTTAAGTGTCTATGATTCAGCAATTAAATATCCTTCAAGGGTTAAGATATTCGGATTTAATTAGATAAACCGATGACATGACAAGTATGGTTTAATTTAAATTTCCGCCTCACATTGATTTTAATTTACTATTTATTCACTAAATCAAATAAATAATTAAGTTCAAATCCAGTGAAATGTTCCAAAAACTGAGCGTCTGCATTCGCTTCGAGTAGCATAAACTTGACAGTACACAGAATAAATTTTCTATAGTTTGGTTTGTAAGGGTTAGTTATGTTTTTTACGAGTTGATCACGGATCGATATCAGTTAGAGAACCATTGAAAACCAGGGAGTACTGGACAGCTGCTGTTTCATCCTAGTTTGGGAATCATTGGTAGAAGTTAGAATTCATGAGCCATTGAATCGGGTTCCAGTGGCTGAATGGTATACGAGCTTGCCTTATAACCGGAAGGTCCTGGGTTCGAATCCCAGTGGGTGCGTTCTATCGATGATTCCCAAACTAGGATGAAACAGCAGCTGTCCAGCACTCCATGGTTTTCAATGGTTCTCTAACTGATATCGATCCGTGATCAACTCGTAAAAACAGAATAAAGGTAAAACTTTACGTACAAAAACAATTCATGCAATCCCTGTCGTCGCGTTTCATTTAATAAATGTTTCAATTTAAAGTTAATACTTTACCACTCCTATTTCTTTGTCTGTCTATTTTGATTATTTCATAGAATCAAACAACTCGTGTCTTCTTATTCCACAGTAATAATGAACAATTGACTCTAAATGATGAAATAAAAGCTTATTGGCTCTACCGTTTCACAATGAGTCCATTAATTCTCTTGGATAATATTGAAATGAAACAGATCCCACATAAAAAGTTATTTCTTCAATTATTAAAAAGTCCAGTGTACACTGGACTGACAATGAATAAACACATTCACATACATTTAGCTCGTGTTGAACAGGTAAATGCTATTAGTTAAATTGTGAATATTGATATGTGATAGTATTTCCATTTTTTACAATTCTTTATTCTTCTTCTCTTGGGTTCCGAAAGTAACATAAGGTTTCAACAACACATTGCCACTTTATTCTATTTGGTGCTGCCCCTTTCAGCTGTTTCCACGATGGCCCATAACCTCTTATTTCCTCCTCGCACGATCTCCTGTTTTTAAAAATTTTGATTAAAGATAGTCATTTTCAGTTCTAGTGTAGTACTGCATAAGGATTAAAGAGAAATATAGATGTAGAAAATGAAATACTTTGAAGATGGTAAAAAGTTAAACACTGTGGAAAGAAGAAGAGGTTGAAGGATTCTCTTTTGCAGGCACAACTCTGGACTTCCTATCAGCATTTCAAAGGAAGCAGATTGACACTGCCTTTGTCAGATTACTTTACACTTACGGAATGCAGTTGCTTCAAACAATCTGCCGAGGCAAATATAATTTCTCGACAGTAGAATTTTTAACAAACTGTATCTCTTTGTATAGAATGTCATTTTGATGTGAATAGTAAGAAATGCAATTAGATTTCCTTGGTGACTTATAGGCATCTAAATGAAAAGCTTCTCACAGACCTATTGTGACTTAACATTATTGAGTCATAGATTTGACTCCCACTTAGGCATCTCAAATCCACGATTTGAACTTATTTACTACATAGATGGTGATGAAGAATTCTGGAATGACTAATACTGAAACAAATAAGTTTATCTAAGATATCATTGTATGTGTCTTTCTTCGTATTAGAGTAAAAATTAAATCCGAGGAAATTGAATAACATGTATTTACATATATAAACAAGGTTATATTTTACTGATTGGTGTAAGCAGTTAAAAGATATTGTGACCAATGTCATCAGACGTATGCTTCAATCAACATCACTCACAAACTGTGGTTTCCTTGATCAAATCAAATGAAGCAAGCAGGGGAATCGGACTATATATAAAACTGAAAGATAACAGCAAGGGAACACTAATCACTGACTGTCATGAGTAATGACAATGAAGAGGATTGCTTGGGAGACTGCATAGAAGCACTTCTCAATATGGATGATTTTTCGGTCGATTCTGTTTTTAATTTTTAACTCTCACAGATGTGTTGACTAACCTTTGCATAATGCATATATAATGAAACTTGTGTTTATTTATTTGATGCTGGACAACAATAGAATGCAGGAAGCCCATTTCATCTTGTTTAAGACTTGTCGGCTAGATGTAGCTGAATTCTAATCAGATGAAACATGCGTCATGCAGTCTAGTGTTAACAATCATCAATCAAAAGCATTATGTTAACTTTGAAGTGTGATTAAAGCATCCTGTAATACAAGTCGATACGTCAGCAGACATAAGTTGAGTAAAAGCATTCAACGTGAAACTCAAAATTACTTCAATAAGAAGTTTATCAATGTACATATTGTGAATAATTACTAAACCAGAGTTATATCTCTATTACAGGTGGAAATACCTGCAGTGGAAACAACATACTGGTGCAAAACTATTGAACTTCCATACTTCTCAAAGGAGCATCATATTATTAAGGTATACATATATCAAAATTATGTGGAATTTTCCATTTTGCCCTTATTTAAATGATAAACTATGTAGATAATATTCTACCACACTAACCACCAAATTAGCGGAATTTTCAATTTGTATTTCTTTTTATTCTGACTATTCTTTTTCTTTCCCATGGTGCAGCCTACATATTTTCGTAGTGGATATATTCCCTGAACATGCATATCTTCATTCCACAAACGAATAACTATAGGCTTTGATGATTAAAAGTGACATTTCTCTTCATATATAAACACACTACATCCACTTTTGAGAATGGAGGCCATTCTCTAGAGGGAACGATGATTAATGAGTCAGATAAAATAACCATTACAAGGATTCGTTTAGGTAACATTATTTAGTTTCCAAAATCTGATGTTTGACAGTAGTGACACTATTTTCCTCTTGCACTTTTGAGCCATTTTCATTCACGTTGTCAGTTGACAAAAAGTTCCACAGTAAGTGAACAGTGCTCAGAAAATTGCGCTTATATAGTTTTTACACTGGCAGTTCAAGTTTAAACAAAATAGATGTATGCTTACAATGGTAAAAGAGTTACGTAATAAAGACGAAATATGAGTTAGATACAGAGTGACTAATAAATTAGGTAACAATGTACTGAGTTCAACTCAAATCATAGAAACAAGAGACAAGCAAAATTACAGAATATAATGGGGGGTGAGGTTAAAGACAAAGATTACGTAATCAGATGAGAGAATAAAGACATTCAGTTACCAGGGCAAAGAAAGATTAATAACTGCTTCTTTCTGAACACATAAATCTGGTTTAAAGCGTTTGATAGAGATTGCTTCGGCAAACTTGAGGAGAATGGAGCTCCTTTGTCTATTGATAATTTTAAAGGATTTCTCGATTTCTACCTCATGACCCGTGTCGAGAAGATGTCTAGTAATAGCGCTGCTATAATAGTTTGTTCCCTTGAGACGTAGGCTTTTTGGCATTTCATTCATTCATTCATTCAGTGGAACAATAGACATACTGACAGTTGATATGATAATGAACAATAAATTGGGATTGGATGTAGTAGTTTTTTTCTCAGCTCGATGGTCTAATAACAAATGTTTCATTGACTTTCCAGACATCATCGCTGACTTCATCTCAGGCAACACATCCAACTCAGAATACAAAACTACATCAATATAAGTATAGAATTTGAGCACAAATCACATTCACAACTTGCAAATTGAATAGTAATTTGCAATCTACACAGTCTGAGTGGTCGTGTTCATATCACATGGATCTGACTAGCAAGCAATAGTAGTTGATATGAATGGTGTACAACTAATAATCTCAGTCAGTCAGTGGTATATAGAATTTGGGCACCTTCGTAGAGTCAGACATGTCATAAGTTTACGGTAAGATTGGATCAGCATCAGTCCGGATATTTTCGCTCACGCCCATGTCCTTGGCCGGGCAATATCCTTTTTTGGTGATCTTCACTGCCGCAACACCATTTACATATATATATCATTTTCTTAGTATGTTTACACTTCTTATACGAGTAATGTTAAATATACCCTTCATCTCACGTCGTTGTTTATTTTGGCTTAAATAGAGCTGGCTGAGAAAACAGGTAGCTAGCACATAATGCAGTTGGTGTAGTCAAGTGGTATTCGTCATCAGCGCGTCTAGTTGCAGCATCGATGTCCCCATCCTATTTCAGTCTCGACGTATTGCTAAACATAAAAACAGTAAAACTCTATCACAGAACAATTCCTATTTTATTAATTTCTGCTGTACCTGGTTCAGGAAACCGAAATTCCGTCCTTGTTTATCTGTATTCTTGCACTTTATTTCCACTGTACTATTCCAAATCTAGTATGAAAGTGATATTATTCCGGCAAGTCAAGGATTGGTTCATCATATGGAAATCTTTCGCTGTCCAGGAAATGCAAATATCCCACATTACAATGCTCCATGTAATTCAGAAATGAAACCAATTGGTTTGTCTCACTGTAGAGAAGTAATTGCAGCCTGGGCTATGGGGACAATTGTAAGTCAGATTCAATTCAATATTGTGTATTGTTTGCAGTACCGTAACATTTACTCAACAGGCTGATATTTTAACAGGAAATCTTTTGATAAAAAATGTACACTTTTCACTCACTTTCTTGTGTACAAATCCAGTGATATGGAGCTGACTAAATCACGAATAAACAAAAGTCATCAGAGAAATTTTATCGCAGTTTTCAGTGGTAAAGGATGCAGCTATGAATAATCCTGTTTGACGATAGGCGTATTAACTTTCAGTCACCAGTTTGACATATAACTACTCGCATTTTGTTAAGAGTGTAACACCATACTATCCCTGTGACCCAGTATATAAGAATTCGATTGGTACATGTTGCCTTCTCAGTCCCAATTTCGAATTTAGTTTGTAATCCACTGTTGGTCGTTTGTTGATACAGTGAAAATAAATGCTGATGGCAGATTAAATTTATCCTTTATGAAACCATATGGTCAATTGTTCAATAACACGTTTGGATAACAAGCTCTGTGTACGGCTGACATACCTAGCTCCACACGAGTAGGTGAATTAACAGATACACACTGATGAGACCAGTAGGGGTAGGGTAGCTTATCCTTCACGTTCATGCTAATCATTGGTTTTGTAGAAGAAGTTCAGCTGGAAAGGTTTTCTTCAATGGTCAGGACAGGTGGCTTTTTACTATTTCTACCAATGAGTCTCCACTGAATTGTAGATTCAGACAGAGATGTTACTTGGGGGCAGAAAGTGTGGGCGGCTTTATATGACTTAGTGGGGATTTTTAAGCTGAACAAAAATGATATGATTATGAGAAATAAATTTTTCTCGAAATGTCATCACTAAATATTACTGTATATCATTGTGAGACTTTATCAAAATATATTTTACGTATAATGAGTAAAATTTCAGTTCTAGCCAGTGACCACATTTGAACCAAGCACCCCAAAGTGTAGCGTGATGCTGTAATCCATGACGTTCAGCATGTCATATGTGAAAGTGATTACTCCCCGGTGGTATCGGTCAGTGAGCATGTTGTATAAAAAGTCAGACCAATTGCAAATACAGGTCATAGAATTCAAATTCATTCGGTGTATATTTGGTGTATATATTCTACAGAAAATATGCTAATAAAAATGCAAAGTATTGTATTTACAGATATCACTTGATTTATGAATTACATTACATTGAAAGTAAAGTACTTGTTTTACAACCCTACAAAATCAATCTCACCAATTAATGAATTCGAGTTTATTATAAAACCTCTTCTGCCATTTGAGTAAATGAGAAACTCGCATTCTCAAGATTTCAGGTGAAGTTTTTGTCTACATCACCTTAACAAGACATATAAGCGAACAACGCTGTTTTCAGTTAGACCTATGTCAGGCTTTACTCTAATTTACAGAGCTGTGTATAAAATACCCATTGAGTCATGAGGAAAATTTAACCAGTGACGGTGAATTTGTGGATCAAATAACAATAATACTAGTAATAAGTCTTTTGAATAAATGTTCTGAACGTCAGTAATAATGATAATTATAATGATAAGAGAAATAATGTCAGTAAGTTTTATGCTCGTGGTGATAAGAATGACGAAGGTAGTAGACAATTCAATAAATAAATTAGGTCAAATCTTAAAAGTTACGTAATACTAGAAGTGAAGTAGACAGATAATCAGAGTATAAATAAATATCACACAAGCACGAAGAAAATGGAAAACAACAAAGGGTGGGAGGTTTCTTAATTAGAATTTACCTAGGCCAAAGGAGAGAAAAAGGTAGAGACTAAGATTGTTCTGTAGAATTCCCATAGCTTCAGCTATGCGGAAACGGTGGGTTCAAGTTCCATTCGAAAGGCTCGATGTAATGTGATAGATAACTCTGGAGGCACTTTTTCTATCCACTTAGTGACCGCTATCAATCAAACGAGACAAAAGAGAGCCTCTTATAGATTTTACTTGACCTTTTCGGAATCATGAAGGAAGATGCTGAGTAATACGTTTGTCGAGCTGTCTGACTATCCTCCCTATATAGCTTTCTCAAAAAGAACAGCTAAATTTGTAAATGCACACAGAATTGGCACTGCTAGGCAGCTTGTCTTTCTCTTGAGCAATCATAATTGGTCGGCTGAAAAGGGACTAACATAGGTTGGAGGTATTATAAGTCCGTTTTATTGCTCTCGATAATCTTAGATGTAGGACTTCACTAGCCACGTCCCCACTGAACTGCCGTTTCAGGAACAGTCGTTTCTTTTTAACTGCTGTTGGTTTCTCTTTATTATACATAGCGTTCATGTGTTTTCCTACAAATATACTGAGATAACCGATTCGGACCAGCTTGTTTTGGGTGTATCCTTATTTATATTCTGGAAATTCATCTGTACAGATCTTTCTTGCTCTATTCGTGAGATATCTGACCAAATTGATTTTGTATCGGATTGGTACAAAACTGAAGAAATGTGTATATTGCCCTGCAGACGTAGGTTTTCTATAGACATCTGTCTTGAATGAACCATCCTGTCTTCTGCTCAAATGAACATCAAGGAATTGTAGTCTACTATCATGTTCTTCTTCACAAGTGAAGATTGGCGGTGGATGTGCGCCACTAACATTTCATTCTTGTCAGCTTTCCCATCAAGGACAATAAACGTATCATCAACATGATGAAAATACGCCTTGGTGGGAACACTATCACTCGCCGGGATAATGTAGGTACATCCAGTGACGAATCACAAGTAGGACGAAATGCTGATCACCATCCACCAATTAACTTCAAAATACGAATCCATTTTATCTATTACTTCTTTCATCTAACTCTATTCATTTTAGATCATAAATATGTGCAAATAATTAACTAGATTTCGGGTCTCGTTGACCAACTAGTAGAGGGCCAAACTGTTAATCTAGAGGTCACTGGTTCAAATTCTGCAGCAACCCATTCAACCTTCAGATATGCCTATCCCAAATGTACATACCATACATTTTACTTGACAGCAATTAAGATAACAATTAAAACCTCAGGTTATAAATTACCAAACCACCTCTGACTATATTGTAGTGAAATGGCTGTAGTAAACGAACGATGTATTTCAATGTGTGGTTTCAAATCACCTTTTATCTAAGTAATAACTCGGTTTTAGAATGATAAATAGCTCTGTTTGATTGAGTGTTTATAGACTGTCTAATTCCGTTCACTGATTTTCAGTTTCATCAAACAGTTTAGACTGGGTATTATCACAGATAGTTTTATTCGGAAAACAGAGTGTTTTTTCTTTTACTGTTTTCCTACAGATATCGAAAATTAGTAAGTGCAAGCACAAAAAGGTTGAGCTGCGTTTCATAAGCGATCGCGTAAATATTTATATTTGAGAAATAGACATTTAAATAATAAAATTCCTTAGCTTATTAGTCATTTAATGTAACACAATCTTGTTTTGATAAATCACACAGTGTTGTGCAGTAATGTTAAGTGATGACGTTTCCAGAAGAAATTATTGCTCATAATCAATTCATATTATTGTACAACACTGTGATTTATCAAAATGAAATATTATCCATAATAGGGTTATACTTTACCACAGTGCCCAAGTTTTATGCTTATAATAGTTAGCACAATCTTTGTTCATTAGCAAGATATGAAGTAACAGAAGTATGACCAGAGCATTATTAAAATGTGTTCCGTGGCTCTGTCCTGTAACTAAACCGGTAGAATACTTGAGTGGTAGGCATCATGTCGATTGTTAAGTCGAATCCAGCTCAGATCTTGGTCTTCATTTCAAATGTAATCAGTGATTCAGTTGGTCGATAAATATTTTATATTTTTTACATTTAAGGTCCAAATAATTTATTGATAAAACTACACAGAATATTTATAAAAATGTCGGAAAGAAGTAAGTGATTGCTTATCCTCACCCTCAGTTATCTACTAAGTGCAAATTCTTAGTTATTATGAGTTATATTGTAATTATTAGGGTCTGACTTTTCCTGAAGAAGCTGGAATTCCTGTCGGTGGAGCTAGAGGAAGAGAGTACGCTGTCATCGAAATACACTATAATAATCCAGGAAATTTATCGGGTGAGTATTCCCGTTCACTGCATGTAAGGATTTTTAAAAATTGTTTAGATATATAGTAAAACAGTTTTTCCATATTTATTTCTTTCTTAGATATATTACACAATGAGACAGTATTATTATTTATTGGATGACGTTTTGAACACAATTTACTGTTCATAATGATGTCAATATATCTACACAACTTTGGAACTTTCCTTTTATGGTTTTCTTCATTCCCACCTATTCGTTGTAGGGGTGGTAGAATTCTCCAGATGTCCGGGAGAGGTGTTGAATCATTCCTATTACACCTATTCTCTTTCAGTTGATTCGATAAATAAAGCCTCCATGATATATCTAACAAACAATTTAATATCGAATTACATACTACCACAATGCCCAAGATTTACAAATATCAGTAAAACAGTTTTATTTGCTGTCACACATAGTGATACGCTATTACTGAGAGCTCAATTTATCAACCAGAATCATATCCAGGTTCACGATGAATATGCGGCTGACTGAACTAAGCACTTTGCTTCCAGTCAATGAGCCCTGAGTTCGAACCTCATCCCGCAGCCCGAAATACCAGCTACTATCATTGCTCCACACACAGTAAGTGCTACTGATGACCTGACAAACGAAATATCTGTTCCGATTAACCGAGTTTGAGTTAATCAGTTACTTGAGACTGCCGCAGTGCCTTGACTTCACTATGAACAACAAACTGTTCTCAAAAGGTCATCAATAACCCTAAACAGACTTATTAAGAGGGGTAACTGTTTACAAACAATTTTCTAAGCCTATTAATCCCATAATTGGACAAAATACCATTTGATTGTTAGAGTGTACTAATAGTACATTTCTGTATGGTGATTAATGCTTGTAAATACGCATGCAAATGTTAGTCAAATGACAACAGTTAATTGTAAAACCGAATAAACAAGCTCATCGAGATCCTTGAACTAGGTAGTGGACCACATCTATGAAAGAAGCACTTAATAAACCTTAAAACAATTAGTCACTTCAACAAATCTGCATAGTTTTACTAGAAGAGGTAGTTTATGTGAATAATATGATGTATTTACGCAATACATTTCGAACAGTCGGATCACACACTTACTTGTCAAGTCAGTTTATAGTGAAAATAAAGGCCAATGAAGATAAGCAAACTGACAAAGAACAATTAAGTTTGACCACGAATTAATTTCAGTTAGAGAACCACTGAAAACCTAGGAGTAACAAGACAGTCGTTTCGTCCTGGTTTGAGATTCATCGTCAGCACGCACCCACTGGGTTTCAAACGATCGGCTGGTGGTTGAGGTAAAATCACGAATTGGTAAAAGTTAGAATTCAGAGGGCTTTGCAATGGATCCAAGTGACTAAGTGGTCTATGGGCCTACCTTTTAACTAGACGAACCCAGGCTCAAAACCCAGTGGGCGCGTACTGCAGAACAGTCTGAGACTAGAGTAAAACAGCTGTTCACTACCTCCTGCTTGTTTTCAGTGATTCTCTAACTGATCTCAATCCGTGATCGAACTTGAAACAAATCAAATTCCTACAAACTAACACTTGAAAAGTAATTAACACTACGCATCGGTGGCACAGCGGTTAGGACTCTCGCGGATAATGCACATGGGCCGGCGTTTGATTCCCTCCCGACGCACACCTGATGTCAATGGTCGGCCTGCAAAATTTGGGCTACCGATATCGCATGCTGAAAATTCCATACTTGTACCAAAATACTGTGTGGTTTCAAGCTATAATCAAAATTAAAAATTAATTAGATTATGTAGTCAGATAAGGGTGACAAATGCAGGTTAAAAATCATAATAAATTGTTTTTGTACACGCTGGTGATGGGGGAGGGTGTTTAAATCCACGGATAGTTGTCGCTGCCGCGTATTTCAGTAAGTGCCCTTGACTGTTGTAGAATCTCAGGGAAAGTGAAATAAGTATATACATATATATATATTGGCTGGAGGATTTCATCATGAGTTAGAACCCAGGACCTTCTGGTTACAAGGCGAGCTCGTAGACCATTAAGCCATTGGTACCCGATCCAATGGCCCATGAATTCTAGCTTCTGCCAATTCATGACATAGTGCAACCACTTCGCAGTGTCTTCTTCGATGAGATACTGCCTCACCTACAACCTGCGGTACCCAAAATAAAATCTTATCCAGGAAATTTGGTTTGGAGTGGAGATTTAAGCTAGATTTCCTCCATGCTTATCAGCTGAGAATGTCTGGAAGCGATGGTTACATCCAAAGCTGTTTTCAGGTACAGTAGGAAACCAGTTGCCAATTTAATGCAAAATGTGAATAAAAAAAGATGATATTGTTAATATATTAACCATTTACATTTTTTAAAGTTACTTTACAATTATTCACTTATAGGTATCATAGACAATAGTGGATTTCGTCTTTATATTACAAGTAAACGCCGACCATATGATGTGGGTGTAATGGAACTTGGGTTAGTATATTCACCAAACAGTGTTATCCCTCCGAGACAATCACAGTTTACGTTAATTGGTTATTGTGATGCACAGTGTACTGATGTGGTAAGATGTGAATAACTCATCAAGACAGACTTTTGTTACGTTTTAAAATGATTTGATCTCATTCTGGTATCTGGAAACAGTAGAAAACCTTCAAAAATCTATCATCTGCTTAAAGCTGCATACTAGACATTGTTCGTTTTTTGTCTAGTAAACTGTTTATGCGATATAAACCACCATTGAATCAATTATCTATATTTCATGATCTATCATGAACGCATAGTTCTCTGTGAGACCTAATTCTAGCATTCATTTTCAAATAGAAACTAGTGAAATATCCTTGATACATATGCATGTATTATTAATTACCTAGCTTTAGAATTAAAACTTTATGAAAACTTTTCCTCGAATTGTTAATCAGTTTAAAACTTCAAGTCGAGAATCGGGAAGGCGAGAAACACATTCATCAACCTGAAACCAATCTGGAAATCTTCGTCACTCAGCCTGCATCAACAACAAAATTCGGATTTTCAATACAAACGTCAAGTCAGTTCTTCTATACGGATCAGAAAGTTGGCGGGTCACAAAGAATATTTCCAACAGCCTGTTGCAGACCTTTATCAACAACTGTCTTCGTTCTTTACTGAGGATTAGATGGCCGGAAAGAATCACAAACAAGAAGCTATGGGAACAAACAAATCAGGAATCAACCGCTCAACAAATATGCAGGAGAAAGTGGAGATGGATTGGACACTCGCTGAGGAGGCCGTTGGGTGACATCGCGCGTCAGGCCACCACTCAAGTGGAACCCGAAAGGGAATCGGCGAGTGGGACGTCCAAGGGTGACATGGAGGAGATGGTGTGAAGAGGAGTTGAAACAGCATGGACTAACATGGATGCAAGTGAAAAGTACGGCAGAAGAGAGAAGCGAGTGGAGACGTGCAGTTGAAGCCCTATGTTCCACTAGGAACCCAAGGGAACAATAATAATATTATAATAATTAAAACTTCTATCCAAGCTATAATCCGAGTTGCTCAAAATACGCAGGTAGACAAATAGAAAACTCATCTCCGAACTTCGTAGGAGTTTCTATGAAACTGTAGACTGGCGGTTTTGATGCATGTGAAACTACCAGCGATTGTAGCAAACTTCAAAGTGTTTTTATTATCTATAACTGTTCAGTGACATTTCAGCACCTTTTATCGCATAATGTTAGATAATTATCCGGATTACTTGATCGTGCTTAGTAAAAATGATCAGGCATTATCAAGGTTAACACTCAATCTGATCTTTGTTGTTAGGCTTAATCAAATAATTGTTATAGCGAAGAAATAGCTTGGGAGGAAAGATACACAAATGTTGTGATACAACTACAGAGAAATAAAATCACCGGGACATGTGTATTCGTTTGCATTCTTGCTATCCTCTCGAATATCTTATTAAGTATATTCACTACATTACCGGCTGTTTTTTTTCATTTTTTTCACCGCGAATGAAGTAAGAGTATGGACTGTTGGTTAGTGTGGGCCTAGTCTTTGGTGTTAGTCATCACAGAATTCTCTTAGTCAAGTTTTGCAACGCTTTCATCAGGCTAGGCGACTAGCCATGCACTCTGAAGTAATGTTAGGTGCAAGTATTCAGCAAAACGTCCTGGAGCTACTTTTCGTACTCATTGACACTTCTCAGTAATTAACTGATATTTGCTTACAAATTCAAATCCGTGTAATCTAGGGTCACAGTCAGAAAAATAGAAGTTTGTTGGACATCAGTCTATCTAATATCCTTCCAAAGATACCTGATACCAACTGTTATCGGTCTCAGACTTGGAGTTGCCATATTCTAGCGTTAGGCCAATTTAAAAATAACGTCGTCCATTTAGATGCTAAAGTTTCTGAAGTCGAACTAGTGATATGAAAAACTGAGAGAATAAATTTCAGTTTATCGCTGCCTAACTGAGATTGAAAATACAAATTGAAAAATAGATTGCAATGGGTGTTTAATTCACTCTGTGTAGACTTGATAAAATAGAACTAGTCAGGCGTTCATTATCCTGAATCGTAAAGAAGTAGTTAAAAATTAGTCTTTATTAATCTTCAGAATTCTTACTTAAATTCCACTAGTTTTGAAAAAATGTCCTTTGGAAGTAAGTAGGACTCATTGGTTATTGACGAAAGTGTACCAGAAAAACTGAATTCTACCATTTCATGTACAGTTATGCTTCCTGCTTCTTATCTAAAGGTTAAGGTTAATCCAATGATTCATGAGTAAACATTAATCCGGTTTTATTGACACAGACATACAAACAGATGAATGGTGGAAAGCTCATGAAAATCAAGCAGATATTTACCTTTTAAATGTGTTTTGCTAAGTCATACCGTCACAAGCGTCGGTGGCATAGCGGTTAGGACGCTCACCGACCATGCACATGGTCCGGGGTTCGATTCCCGGTCGATGCACTCCTTTACCTCGCTAAGCCAGAACTAAAAGCTGGTGAAGAGGAAAGGTTGGGCATGAGGCTAGCAACCTCATCCTGTAAAAATAAGCACTGCTAAAGAAACTTCAAGCCACTAGCTTGAAGCCCTATGTTCCACTGGCGAACGTGAAGGATAAAAAGAAAAAAACCGTCACAAGCAAGTCGACGAGATGATCAATAGCAGTAAGAGTAGATACAATTATAAGGCCAACCACAGGAACAGCTGATCGCACTGAAATTTACCAGGAAAAACAGATATTCCATCCTTAGAGAATTCCAAAGACTCACTTGCCACCAAAGTTAATGCTAAAGAAGTTGTCGAAATGGATAGTGAACGCTTAGCAATTGAAGCATCCAACTAATAGATCACAACAAAACCGAAAAGATGCATATATTCTTTTCGATGATAACTTAATGCAAACATAACTTTTAGTGAATACTAATTTCAAGAAGGTAACTGTGTAAAATGGAACAGCACAGTAAATTCGTATAATTCCAGTTTATGGCTTTACAGCATATTGGGCAAAACTTTGAACAAATGTGCCACTACTGATTCAACAGCATAAAACTCAATGGTTAGCAGCTTACATTTCAAACCAACTTGTGATAAAGCATTCATTACCGAAAAAAAACACTGAGCTATTTACACCACCAATGTCATAAACATATTTCTTTTTTATATTTTATTTTAGAGTTTACCAAAACCTAACGGGATATTTGTATTCGCTTCACAATTGCATACACATGCAACGGGAATAAAAGTTGTCACACATCATTTACGCAATGGAACAAGACTACCTGATCTCAATAGAGATAATTACTACTCACCGCATTTTCAAGAGATACGTCAACTTTATGAACAAGTACAAATTAAACCGGTAAGTATTTATAACGGTTTGGAAAATTTATGCTACAAGACACAGGTAGGTAGATTTTGTTGCTCTCTGAGTCCTAATATCTAAGATTAACAGAAAACATGAATAGAAAAGTGTTCTGATGATATTAGATAGTTGGGGGCAATCGGCAGGAAGCCTTGGACCTAGGTTTCGTGCTAGCTGGCACTCATCAGCAAGGCGTATCTGCAGCCTTGAAGGAACTGATGTCCCTTTTGAGATTCGAACCCGCGTCACCCAGTGCTGCAGTCAGAGATGTTACTACTGAGCTATTTGGGCTCCCGATTGACCTCCTTTAGGACTGTAGTGGATTTTTAGATTGGACACTAGTAACTAGTGTGACGTGTCTAGTCCTTTCTTTGGTGCAGACTGAATTCTATCAGTCAGGTTTTCCTGCCGATTGCCTCCAACTATCTAATATCATCAAATCAATGTGCACCGTGGTGGCGAGCTACCTAGAATGGTGGCTACATTGCAAAACCTGACTGGTAGAATTCAGTCTGCACCAAAGAAAGGACTAGACACGTCACACTAGTTACTAATGTCCAATCCAGAAAAGTGTTCTTCATATGCAACTCTGTGATTAATCACTGATGACTTCTAAGCAATACTGGTTATGGTATGAAGGATAACCTCAGATTGACAAATTGATGCCTATGCAGTGTAACGATTAGTGACATTGAATAGAAAATCTGGGTCCTGGAAAGTTTGGACCAAATGTCCGTGTGTTTAAATTGTGCTTGAAAATGAGTTCTCTATAGAGACTTCAACAGTCACTCTATTATCTACAAATAATGTACTTTTACATATAGTGGGTACTGATAAAACCAGTTATTCTGATAATTGTCAGACCTTCGATCACATTGATAAATGAGTGACATTGATAGAAAGGTGAATAAAAGTTTTGACTCATAGTATTAAGTTTTTTTCTGCTCTTTGATCAAGTGGAGTCCTAATGAAAAAATATCATCCCCTTCTCCCGCTCGCTATCATAAAAAGAACTTCACAAAGTAAAGCATATACGAAAAGTCAGTAGTTCTTTGTTTAAATGGAATTTAAAAACATATCCATGATTTGATCTAGACATATCCAACCTAACTCCGTAGGAAGTAACAGGAACAATGCATTTATTTGAAACATTCTACTGGACCATGTTAAACTAAAAGAAAAAGTCATTTAGACTCACTTCGGACACTCTATCAATCCCTAGCTGCTACTATCCTGTGTTCAAGGCCATTATAAGGTGAAATGATTATCATAAAATGAAGGGATAATCATAGGCTTTGGAATTAAAATCGAAGGTCTTAAAAAAGTCAAAGTAAAACTGTCATCAGGACGTCTTTCATTCCTTAAAATTATCAGCGATTAAAAAGTTCTTATATGAGTTAAGAATTAATTTAAAGTAGATGATAAAAGCGTTGTATACCTTGTTAAATGTTTACTGTTCATGCGAAAAAATTCCCCAAAAGAGTCTTTTCGTTTGATGCAGTGTGACATTAAGAGGCTGTTCATGTTTTCTTATCGAAAAAGCCAACGTCATAAACTGTACCACTGAGCTTTGACGTATATAAGGAACTGAATAATTCTCTGGCTGATGTATCTATTGTTGCAATTTAGCTCTTTCACCAACGATAAATGGTTGCTGAGGGATACTTTTGGAATGAAAATGATACACATTATTTATACAAAATAAATGTCCAATTAATCTCATGACAGTATCTAGGGTAGAAAAAGGAAGATGTTTCAAAATGATAATTAATGTTTAAGAATTGCGAAAATAGTTACATCACTCATTGGTAGACTGCAGTGCTTACAGATATGTACTTTAAAACGTTGATATCTTACAAATGACATAAATCATGTACTACTTACTGATAGTGCAGACAAATTCATTTTTCACCTGGTACTGAATCTCCGACGTTTTATAGGCCGACTTATATTCCTTAAGTCAAATTCCCAATTCGTGAAGTGGTCAGCAATTTGCAGTCTACGCAGTTCGAATGGTGAGACTTCGTTGTAGTTTCTTCTGGGAACCATAAATGGTAATTAAGAAGGCAAGCCGGTCTGCATAAAACTATGTATTACTGACTGATTGAGATGATTAGTTGCACACCACTCATGTTATCCAGTTTGCTAGCTGGTCAGATCCAGGAGATCTAGACACCGGACGGCCATTTTACTCGTTTGGGGCTGAGCTCATCAGCGGTGTGCCCAATTTTCACTCACCTCAGAGGTCTTAATCAATTCAAACCACATGATTTCTGGATAGCTATTTGAAGGAACTTGTGGTACCGATCATCCCATCCTATGTCAGTAAAAATACGATTGGTGAAATGTTTACATGATTGAGCACAAAAACTAAGTAATACCAAGGGAAATCTAAGACAGGAAGTAAGGCATTTAGGAGAAGCTTTCAAACTTACCCTGATAAATTACTCAGGAAGTATGTAGGGAAATGTAAAAATAAAAATAAAATAAATAATGATAGTAGTGATAGTGATAGTGATAATAATAATAATAATAATAATAATAATATTAATGACGACATGCATGTCAAATATGCTCAGCATAATGACAACGCCAACAATAAGGAATCTAAATCATCAGTAGTACTTCCATACAAAGAAGGAACCTCGGAAACCTTACGCACAATTCTTAACAAGGCAGGAATAAAAGTGGCTGGCATTCAAACCAACCACAAACTCAATTAGAAACAAGCTTTGTCGGTTAAAGGATCCTGTCTGTGGAGCCTTTAAAACAAAACAATTTAGTTTATCTAATACCCTGTCTGCAATGACTGTCAGATCAAATACATAGGTCAAACTAGTAGAACAGGGCAGTCAGACTAGCCGAACATAAAAGCCTAGCAAAATCTAGGTTGATTAACCCGAATGAGATAAGAAATCTAGAGAACAGCTCAGCTATAGCACTACACGCAGTTGCACACAACCATACAATAGCCTGGATGGGATAGGATGATAGTTTTGAAATCTAATGTCACAGGGTGGAGGGAGAGATTGATAACAGAAGCTTTGTTTATCGAATCAACTGCAAACACGTGTAATAAGAGTGATTCAACACCTGCCCCAGATACCTGGAAAATTCTACTACACCAACGACGACAAATAGGAGAGGACAAAGAAAACTATAAAACTCAAGTGTCAAAGTCATGTGATTACATTTGATATGATTATAAACGATAAATTGTGCTTGAAATGCCATTCAGTAAATAATACTGTTTCACTGTGTGATAGATCTAATAGACAAACTTTATGGAATTATTACCGCAGTGCCCAAGTTTTACACATATATTAATACCATAAATCAAATTCACAATTTACAAATTATTTAGCAATTCACAATTTGCACAACCAGAAATTGGGTGGTGGCCAAAACACTGGTGATCATATAGTGTTTAGATCATCTCGATTTGGCCAGCAACAACTACTGGTTGATATGAGTGGTATGCGACTACTCACCTCAATTATTCAGTAGTATATAGGTTTATACAAATAACTTGAAGTCAGTCAAATCTCTACAAACCCAACAAACTGATCTTATGTTATTTTAATTTTACCAGGGTGACAGCCTGATTACTGCATGTACTTACAATACAAATGAAAGGGAACAGGTAACTTTCGGTGGTTTAGGTATACGAGATGAAATGTGCTTAAATTACATATTTTACTATCCAAAAGTTAATCTGGAATTATGCAAATCCGATGTAACTCGTGAGTCGTTACATTCCTTTTTGAAAACAGTGGATAAAAAGTAAGAATTAGTTTTCCTTTTTCAAACTTGATAATTATTATTATTATCCTTACTTCTTTGTAAACTAAATACAAGTAGTTAAGCGACCTTAACCAGAAGCCTTGAGATTCCCTAGCAAAGTTTTATCGAACAGACTCGTCTATATGCATATAGGTTTTACTGATGTAGCATGATGACGTACACTATTGACTGATAGAAGAAGGTGGGTACCGCTGACATCAACCAATAGCACTTGCTAGTGAAATCGAAGTGATCTTAATCCTGGATGACTGTTATGCTCGTTTAGGGCCGATTTCATCAGCGGTTTAACTCAGTCCAGAGAGCCAAATCAGTGCCAAAACCAACTGGATTCTGGGATGAAGTCCACCACTTTGCAAATTATGAATTATCACTGTTTTTGGGGGTGATATATGCAGATTAGATAGGGACAGAGTTTGACTAGCAGAAGAGTTCAGCTGCTATTCATCTACAAATAGTTCGTTTTCAACTCACACGCTTCAGTTAACGCAACAGTGATTTTATACCAGTCGCTAACAATCAACCAGAAATCTTCAAAATAAAAATCCTTCAACCTTCTAATTACCTTAACTGAATGGCTTCAGTAAAGAGACTGAGAGCCTTCAGAATTTTGCAGATAGTCACATTTACTCATTTTTAAAACTGCAACTCTGTTGGTTTTGGAATATTTCTCTAAACATAATGTAATATGTGTAGAGAACGAGTAAACGACACTATATGCTAAACAGAATCTTAAACTACATTGGAGAAAAAATTTCAAAAAAATACTCACTGCTTGTCAGAGCTGATTTAGCAAATGTCACTTCTTCATTAAAAAGGAATGTATTCACGTGAATGTTTCTCAGCTTTCAGTCATCTGTTCTAAGCCATTTGAGTACTTAAATCCATTAACCTAAATTGTTCATAGCAAATGTCTGGATGAAATAATCATTTGTAAATTGTAAAACTTGGGTTAATAATTCTATATTACTGAAGATATGAAATGATGCATAGCGTTCAGAAATACTTGTTAAAAATGTGATTACTTGAAACAGGAATACAATTCATAAGAGGAAGCGGTTCGGAATATGGATGATACCTCTATTTTCATAGTCGTGAGCTTAACGTAAGACGTAAAAATAGATTGTATGCAAAGTTGATATACAACGTCTACAAAAGATTTAAAGTCATGTTATTAAAAAGGACTGAATAAAACGCCTTTATATATAGAATTTAGGATTTTCCTTGAGTATAACAACAGATTCGATTGTAGTCAGAAGACATAGGTGAAAAAAAATCCCCCGAACGATTTGGCCTCGACCTTATCTATCACTGTGATGATGATTGGTGAGGAAGAATAAAGTGCTTAAAAAGTGGCCTGTTTATTGATCTGCTTTCTGTTCCCAACGTTTATATACAGAAATGCCCATGAACATGTCTAGGATATGTCACACTGATGCGGTCTATTCTATAAGCTTCGCAGAAGGAAGTGACCCCCTGTACTCCGATGGATGTTGTTGGCGAAGAAGCTCTTTCTTTGACATACTGATGAACAAGGGGCGTCTTGGAGAGAATAAGATACAGATAAGATGAAGTGAAGAATGTTCTTCAGGCTGCTATAGGTAATAGGCTTCTGTCAATTTTTTTTGTTGTATCGACTTTGAATTTCTGGTTTGCAGCTCATTTTTACTTCGGTACTTGTGAGTCGCGTAGTTGGGCTATTCATTATTACGCTGTTTTAACGTCAACTGACACTTTTTGACCTTTAATAGCATTTCCTACAATCACTTATAAGGTTTCCAGTTATAATTACGTTACAGTTCTTAAAATATATTTCAAATGATGTTTGACTGACACCAATGTATGATGAAAACAATCACTGACATATTTTCGACACATGACACCTGAGTTTCGTACACAAAAACGGTCAGTATAAAAAATCGAAAACATAGACGTGTAACACTGTTGCCAGACATAAAAATCTTCAATAAATAGTGTAAAATAATAAACATGTGGTGTTGAAGACTATTAATAAACTTTCAGGACTAAAGAACACTCAGAATCAAATTGTCCAAATACAACTCCGTTAATATATATTCAATTAAATTAAACAGTTGGACTGTCATAGTCATTCTCGAGAAATGCTGTTTATATTCGCTAATTTATTAGAATGTATTTAAAATGTTATCCTTACCATATTTGCTTTCATTAATGCATTGTACAAGTAATAAGCAGCAATCCATGGACATAATGGACGAAATAAACTCTGTTCAATGGAATCCCAAGGACGTAAGAAACCTCGAGAGATTTTATAGAAATTCGCCGATTGAAATGCACTGTAATAGTTCAAGCGGAATGCGCATACAGGTAACGTTCACTGTATAAATAAGTATATATATATATATACATATATATATGACATAAAGTGAGTTTATAAATTGAATCAATCCTTTGTATCAAACAGAATGATACTACCTTGTTATCGAAAGTCGAGAATATTTTCACCTTATTGTTAGTTTCTCTAACCTGAATGGGTAGCGAGGTGTTGGGCATCCGAGGATGGCATGGAAATGACCGTGTGAAGAGGAAGTGAAAGCTAATGAATCAGATGAAACTGATGGCGGCGAACCGACTATAATGGAGATATCCGTCTGAGGCCTTGCGTTCAGAGTGGAATGCAAGCTAGTTTGCCAATATCTTCTCAATTACCATACAGTTATTTACATTTTGGCACAACTAATATTGTTTTCATTTCTTCAAGAATATTATTAATTTGCAACACTCTATGCCCATGCTTATTTCTGAAAAAAATTTATGATTAAAGGATCATAGAAAGCAACACGGGCAACGCCACCAACAGCAACAACAACAACAGACAACAATCAGCGTAAATGGGAGGAACCTGAAAGAAACAACCTCTTTTACCTACCTGGGAAGCATCGTCTCAACTACAGGCGGAACTGACGAGAATATCAAAGCAAGAATCGGGAAAGCAAAACAAGCTTTCACTACTCTCAAGTCTGTGTGGAGATCAACAGCACTCAGCATCAAAAATAACATCCGGATTTTCAAATCCAATGTGAAGTCAGTCAGTGCTACTATACGGATCAGAGACTTGCACTGCGCGTCATAAAGAGCATCTCAAACAAACTACAAACCTTCATCAACAGTTGTCTTCGCTCAATACCGCTCAAGATCAGATGGCCGGCCAGGAAAGATCAGCAACAGGGATCTCTGGGAGCGAACCAACCAGGAAGCAATTGTGAATCAAATAGGCAGGAAGAGATGAAGATGGATTGGCTATACTCTGAGGAAACCATCAAGTGAGTGACATCACTAGACAAGCCATTACTCGAGTGGAACCCGAAAGGGAAGCGGCGAGTTGGTCGTCAGTGCAAGGGTGACTTGGAGGAGGTCATGTGAAGAGGAGATGAAAACGTGTGGGCAGACATGGAGTCAGGTGAAGACTCTAGCAGAGAACCGAACGCAATGGAGACGCACGGCTGAAGCCCTATGTTCCTCTAGGAATTAAAGGATACAATAATAATAATAGAAAGCAACACTGTGAGGCATTTATTTGACATCGAAACTCAACACAGAAGTTACTTATTTATATTTCTAAACCAAGCCTACATATGAATTTTGAGATATGATTATCGTAAACAGATATCGTGACTATTAGTCTGGTAAATTTTTGGGGACGGTAAGTGATGAAATTCAGGATGCCTGTTCCCTCCCATTGGAAGCATTTCAGGTAATCATTTCTGGAATCCAGTGAATGATGACAAGCCACGCTGGCTTCGAACCCAGCGACTACCGTTTTAAATGCTAAACGACAATTTGTCAAGCTGTTAAGTCACTGTGAAGTATATGTTGAATGGTGGTATGATGTATCAAAGATGAAACAACAAAGAAATTTTTAGTTTTGACAAAATCATACAATCATATTTGCTGTCATGGTAAAATGAGCTGGGATCATTAGGATGATAGCAGCCTATTTTAACAAAGAGATCAGGAAAATTGTTAGTAACAGAAAGAAAAAAGTGAAAGGTAATGAAAGAGGGAGGTACTAGATGTTAAGTGTGACAACTAATAAAAACTTAAGCCGCTAGAATGAAAGGCGTAATAAAACAGGAAGGAAACATTTGAATGAAGAAAATAAGAAGAATTGCTACTCATTCCACAATTACAGTAAGACTGACAGACATGTGTTGTTTTTGAGCACGAAGACCTGGTTTAAACTTATGGATATTCAAAGACTCTGACACAAATGATGTAGTTGAATTCCTTTGAAATGATAATGGGAAACCTCATAAATCAGTTAAAAGGGTGTTTGGTGTCTTAATCCCATTTTCACTTCGAAGGATTCCATGAGTTTCCTGTTGTGGGTTACTTGGCACGCACCATTGTCGTACAACTGTTGGATGAGGTGTATAATTGTTGGCGGCACCCGGAAGTAACGAAGTAGTTGCCAAATCACCTCTAGATAGACACTGTCAAAGGCCTTTTCAAAGTCGATAAAGTTGAGATAGAGAGGTGACTGCCATTCCAAGCTCTGTTCAGTGATAATCCGTAGTGTTGCGATTTGATCGATGCATGACTTGTTTCTCCTGAATGTAGCCTATTCTAGTCGAAGTTTTTGATCCAGGGCGTGTTCGATTCTTTCCGGGATGATGCGGCTGGAGACTTCAAAATCCTTGTGGGCTACATGAATACCAACCGAACTGGTAGCAGATAGTACACGAAGAGAACTCATCATGGGTCGAGAGGCTATTCCCGGGAGAAATGAATGAGAACGGATGGCTCTTCGCAGACTTCTGTACTTTGAATGATTTGGTGATCAAGACAGTGTGCACAGTCACAAGAATATACACAAGGTCAGCAACATGGATTTCACCTGACGGACATACCACAAATCAGATAGACTTCAAACTCAATACTGCTCAAGAAAGTGGAGACGTAGCCGTCTGGACACATAGTCGAGAAAGGGGGCAGATGTGGGCTCAG